CAGCAGCGCCTGCCAGAAGGAAAGGGGCTGCTGCTGGGGGCCCCCCGCCGGGGGGCTGAAGTTGGAGACACTGACGGCCCTGAAGAGAAACTCGTGGGTGAAGGTCTGTGTAGAGAAAGTTTGCAGCAGCAGCAGCAGCAGCAGCAGCAGCAGCAGCAACAGCAGCAACAGCAGCAGCAGAAGCAGCAGCAGCAGCAGAGAGAAATCATAGACCTGTCAGTGTATGCTTACCCATGTACCCTAAACCCTAAAACCCTAAACCCTTGGTTGGGTTCTGGGGCTCCTAAGCCCTAAACCCTAAACCCGTACACCTAAACCCTAAACCCTAAAACCTAAACCCTAAACCCTAATTTTTTGTGCCCCTCCCTCGACAGCGCGTCCGCCACAAACTCCAACACGACAGCCCTACACCGAAGCTACTACCTAGAAAACCCATCGCTAAGGGTTTAGGGTTTAGGGTTTAGGGTTTAGGGGTTAGGGTTTAGGGTTTAGGGTTTAGGGTTTACGAGGAGTGCTTTGAGGGTTTCCGCGTTGGGTATGGATATTTTCATGTGTTGTTGTGGTTTTTCTATTTCTATTTTCATGTATCCTTCTTCTCCTTTGTTTTCTTCTGCTGCTGCTGCTCCTGCTGCTGCTGCTGCTGCTGCTGCTGCTGCTGCTGCTGCTGCTGCTGCATGCGTATAGTTTTTTTCTGTTAGATAAAAAGGAGACAGCTCTGTCTCCTCCTCACTATCAAACGGAGACACCGCGCCTGTCTCCACCCCACACTCCTTGTCTGCCCCCCCGCAACCCAGGGGATGCACCCCATACACCACAACTGTCTCCGGCAGAGGAGACAGCAGCAGCAGCGCCAGAGGCTGCAGCACCAGCAGCAGCAGCAGCAGCAGCAGCAGCAGCAACAGAATAGTAGCAACAGCAACAGCAGCAGCAACACAAACACCGGCAGCAAAAAAGGAACAGCATTAGCGACAGAAACAGCAGCAGCAGGAAAACAAGAACAAGAGGGGCCCTAAACCACCCTAAACCCTAAACCCTAAACCCTTATCTATATAATAAGGGTTTAGGATTTAGGGTTTACGGTGGTTTAGGGTTTAGGGTTTAGGGTTTGAGTCAGGGGTTTACCTGCAGCACGGAGGAGACAGACTTTGTTGGGAACAGCTTAGATAGCAGCTCCACAGCAAGAGCCTTTGCTTCTGCTGCTTCTGCTTCTGCTGCTGCTGCTGCTGCTGCTGCTGCTGAGGGAGAAGCTGTTGGGCTTGCATCACCATCAGCAGCAGCAGCCCTTGCTGCTGCTGCTGCTGCTGCTGCTGCTCTTCGTTTGCTGCTGAATGGGGTCCAGTAGCCGAGGAGCCCCCCGCTGTCATAGAGGGGGCTGCCAGGGAGAGAGACATCCCCCTCCAGCTTGCTGCGTCTCTCTTGCTGCTGCTGCTGCTGCTGCTGCTGCTGCTGCTGCTGCTCTTCCTCTTCTTGCTGCTGCTGCTCAGTCTGCTGCTCGTGCTGCATCTGCTGCCAGGTGAGGGGGGTACACCAGACGCGGTGTATGTACAGCTCAATGGGCTTTTGATCCGTCCTGTGGAGACACACCAAACACAAACTGCATCTGCTGCTTCAGCTGCTGCTGCAGTTGCTGCTGCAGTTGCTGCTGCAGTTGCTGCTGCAGTTGCTGCTGCAGTTGCTGCTGCAGTTGCTGCTGCAGTTGCTGCTGCAGCAGCTGCTGCAGTTGCTGCTGCAGTTGGTGCTCTGTTCCTGGTCCTGCTGTGGGAGCGGTCTGCGTGCTGCAGTTGCTGCAGCAGTTGCTGCTGCAGTTGCTGCAGCAGTTGCTGCTGCAGTTGCTGCAGCAGTTGCTGCTGCAGTTGCTGCTGCAGTTGCTGCTGCAGTTGGTGTTGTGTGTCTGACGTGTGGGGTTGCAGCAGCATTTGCCTGAGTGCTGGTGTTGGCCGCAGACAGCGTGGGATCGGTCTCCGTATTCGTCTCCCCGCAGCGTTGCTGCTGTCTCCCTGGGGGCCCCCTGAATCTGTATAGGGGGTATAGGGCGCAGCAGCAAGTTGCTATTAAGGACCCCAAGCGCATGCAGCCGCTGCAGCGCCTTCACAGCTAAGTGCTGCCAGGCCTCTCCTCTGTCTCTGTGTCTCCTTTCTTCTGCTGCATGCATTTCTATGACTTGTGGCGGTGCTGGGGTGTCTCTACACCCCTGCAGTGGAGGCAGCTCAAGCACAAGGGGGCCCCCAGGGCCCTGGGCCCCCCGGGGCTGTGAGGGGGGCCCCCAGGGGGGCCCCCAGGGGGCCCCCCCCTGCCGCCCCCGACTGCGACTGCGCAGGGGCCCCAGCACAAACAGAGACTCAGCTGGGGGCCCCCGTGCCTCTCTAAAGGCTTCACAGCCAGGCTCGTTGTACCCTTGTCTGAGTATCTGCTGCAGGAGGCCCCAGGCAAGGGGAGGGGGCACGAGGGCCCCCGCAGGGGTCTCTACACATACACATGGAGGGGGGGGCCCACGTGAAGATACACCTGAATTCTTATGCTGCTGCAACACACCAGCCTGCTGCTGCGCGCATGCAGATGCACATGCTGCTGCACAGTCCCGCATCACACATATGCGCTGCAGCAAAGGAGACAGCTCAAATCGAGCAGGGGGCCNGGGGGCCCCCGGAGCAGCAAGTCGAGGAGGGAGCATCTGCAGCAAGCAGCAGCAGCGCAGGGGGGATATCAGCTGAGTCCTTGTTTTTGCTGCTGCTGCTGTTGTTGCTGTCGCTGCTGTCGCTGCTGCTGCTGCTGCTGCTGCTGCAGCAGGCTGCAGCCAGCAGCAGCTCGTTCTCCCTCTCCGGTGCCTCTGCTATCAGCACCACCCCGTAGCCTTGGGATCGGATCCCCTGAAGAGCATCGCTGGCACTGGCAGCAACAGTCAGCCTCAGACGGGGTTTGCTGCTGCTGCTGCTGCTGTTGCTGCTGCTGCTGCTGCTGCAGCTGCTGCTGCAGCTGTTGCTGCTGCAGCTGCACCCGGGTTGCTCCTTGTCTCCTCCCAGGGTTGTGCCCTTTTCTAGACACACACTGCATACCTGAGCATCAGCAGCAGCAGCAGCAGCAGCAGCAGTAGGAGCAGCAGCAGCAGCAGCAGCAGCAGCAGCAGCAGCAGCAGCAGGAGACTCTCCGGTGACGGGGGCCCCAAATCCCCTTGCGTGGAGGAACCGCTCTAGGCAGCAGGCAGCTGCTGCGCTGCGGCAGATGATGAGGGCCCCCTGAGAGTTGATGGGGGCCCCCCATCTGAGGGGCCCCACCCCCTGCTGCTGGCTGCAGCTGTCTCCTTTGCATGTGTCTCCGTTTGTCTGCTGCAGCAGATACGTGGTGATTCTGTCTATCTCTATGAGCCGGGGGCTGAAGAGGCCCCTGAGGGTCTCTCGAGCTAGCACACGACAGCGAGAAGCTAAACCCTCCTCCACCTGCTGCTGCTGCTGCTGCTGCTGCTGCTGTTGCTGCTGCTGCTGCTGCAGTTGCTGCTGCAGCTGGTGCTGCAGCTGCTGCTGCGGTTCAACAAAGTGTAGAAACCTGTGCAGGCCCCTGAGGCCCCTGCTGCAGTACTGTTTGTAGTGTAAGAGTGCTGGCTGACGCAGCAGGGCCCCCAGCATCTCTATAAAGAGAAACCCGATCCCCAGCTCCAGCCGCAGCAGCAGCAACTCCTTGTGGGGTCTACATTGGGGGGCCCCCCACTTCATTGGTGGGGGGGGGCCCCCCAACCCACCAGCTCTATCATCTATAGGAGAAGCAGCAAACGGCCATAGCAGCCACACAGGCACCTGACATTCACCTGCACCACCCACCACACTAGGGGCCTCAGGGGGGCCCCCTTGGGGGACTGCAACGGGGCCCCCAGCAGCAGCTGACAACACAGACGGGGGGGGCCCCCACAGCCCGTCTTCTTTGGGCTTGTTAGAACGCGCGATGCAGCTTCTGGGGGCCCCCGGGGCCCCCGGGGTCTCAGGGGCCCCCGGGGTCTCAGGGGCCCCCGGTGTCTCAGGGGCCCCGGGGGCCCCCAAGGTGTCTGCTGTTTGCTGCTGCAGAGGCTGCAGCAACGACTGCCACTCTAGGGGACTGCAGCAGTCCTCTGATTGGGGGCCCCCCGAAGGGTAGATGGGGGGCCCCCCTAGAGCTGATGCGATGGCGTTGAGTCTTTTTCTTAGGTTTTGTGCTGCTGCACAGAGACACCAAAACCCCCACTCCTGCTGTATGTACACCAGAGATGCATGCACACGGCCCCACTGAGCTGCTGCTGCTGCTTTGTGCTGTACAGACAACAAACAACACAGCTGCTGCATGCAGCCCGCATTCATCTTCATATATCGATGCCTCCACACCTCCATCGCTGCAGCAGATGCCAGCGGGTCTCTCCCCTTCTCTCCTAGCGGGGCCCCCCCCCACAGGGGGCCCCCCTCTGGGGGGCCCCCTGAGGGGCCCTCTGAGGGTCTAGCTGGGGGCCCCACTGAGGGGCCCCCGCCAAGACCCTCTAGTCTTCGCGGGGGCCCCCCGGGGGGGCACTGTGAGGGGCCCCCTTCTTGCCTGTCGGGCTGCGGTGATACCCTGGTGTCTCCTCTGTCTCCTGCTGCTGTCTCCGCTGGGGCCCCGGGGGAGGCCTGAGCTGTCTCCCCCTGCAGCTTTGTTATGCCGCTGCTCTGGGGGCCCCCGGGGGCCCCCGATAAGGGGCCCCCCGGGGCCCCCAATACCTCAAACATACCGGGGGTCTTCAGCGCACGCGCTAAGAAGTTGTCGCAGATAGACAGCAGCTGGCTGACCGTGTCAGTGAACACTCGCTCCTGGGGGGGCCCCCTGGGGGGCCCCTGAGGGGGCCCCTGCAGGAACCCCTGGGGGGGCCCCTGAAGGAACCCCGGGGGGGCCCCCTGAAGGGTTTGCTGGGGGCCCCCATTCGCTGTGAACCATCGAGCTGCATCTGGTCCCTTTGGTGCTGCTTCTGGTGTTGTCTCTGCTGCTGCTTCTGTTGCTGCTTCTTCTGCTGCTGCTTCTGCTGCAGCAGCAACTTCTGTTGCAGTCCAGTATGGGGCCTGCTGCGGAGGGTATCGAACAACCTCTAGGATAGGGGGCCCCCCGGGGCCCCCCAGGGCCTCAGCTAAAAGGAAAGAGGGACAGTGCAACACACGGAGGAGACAGCTGAGGGCCCCGGGGCCCCCCTCATCGCCAGCAGCAAAGGGTGTCTCGGTGACGCAGACAATGCGGGGGGCGGAGACAGCGCGGGGTAAGAAGTATTTGAATATACATTCATACCCTTCAGCCCCCCTGCTGCTGCTGCTGCTGCTGCTGCTGCTGCTGCTGCTGCTGCTGTTGCTGCAGGTTACGCCGTCCAGCAGCAGCAGCGCCACGTTGTCTAGCTTCAGGTAGCCATGCATCAGCAGAGAAACAAAAACAGCAGCAGAAGAGACAAACACACGCGGCCACTGCACCAGCCCCTGCTCTGCGACCCCTGTCTCCTCCCAGCCAGAGAAAAAGGCATCAGCAGCAGCATCAGGGGCCCCCAAGGGGGGCCCTGGGGGCCCCCCCAGGGGCCCCCCAATGGGGTACTGGGGGCCCCCCGGGGGCCCCCGTGATAGTGCCTGCAACGCCTCAGCCTGAGAGGCAGCGAAGCGGAAGGGGGAAAGGGGACGATAGAGATTGAGGCTTTGTCTCTCTTCAGGGGTACGAGGAGGCCAAGGAAGCTGCAGCAGCAGCAGCAGCAGCAGCAGCAGCAGCAGCAGCAGCAGGAACAGCAACATATACTCTATACAGGTGGGTGCTGTGGGTGTAGATAGCTATGTAAGTGTACACTCATATCCGGGTGTATAGGCAGCTCAGCGGAGACAGTGCATGTGGGGTGCCTGCGGGGACTGTGCAGCATAGAAACAAAGAGACAGCTGGGGGGCATCTTTGACGTGCAGCAGCAGCAGCAGCACCAGCAGCACCAGCAGCAGCAGCAGCAGCACCAGCAGCACCAGCAGCACCAGCATCAGCTCAGCAGCAGCACCACTACTATCACCAGCAGCAGCAGCACCAGCGACACCACCAGTACCACCACCACCACCACCATCACCATCACCAGCAGCACCACCACCATCACCAGCAGCAGCAGCAGCAGCAGCAGCAGCAGCAGCAGCAGCAGCACTATGTTTACCCCTTCTTGCTGCCTGATAGCTTCTCTGAATTCCCTAAGAGCTTTTCTGTATTCATCCCAGCTGGCGGGGGCCCCCCACCTGACCCGCAGATGTGTGTGCTGCCACTGTCTCTCTTTTTTGTCTGCTGCTGCTGTCTCCTTCGTCCCCTTAGAGGGACACAGCCGCGCTACCAGGCGGCGGGGACCCTCATACGGGCCCCTATAGGGGCCCCCATAGGGGCCCCCACAGGGGCCCCCACAGGGGCCCCCACTGTGGCCCCCATAGGGGCCCCCACAGGGGCCCCCACAGGGGCCCCCAGCGGGGCCCCCACAGGGGCCCCCATCGGGGCCCGCACAGGGGCCCCCCTCGGGGCTCCCACAGGGGCCCCCATCGGGGCCCCTGTGGTGAGGGTCCCCGCAGGAGGGGCCCCCGCAGGCACGCGTATGAGGGTACAGAAGAGAGAGGACGTGTTGTAGGTGTTGCTGCAGCTGAAGGGCCCCAGCAGAAGAGGGAGAAAGACAGACGATGAGGTGAGAGGCAGCGGCGAGGTTTTGTAAGAAAGTGTAAACTATAAGCCCCGGCAGCAGCAGCAGCTGTCTCCGCTGCAGCGGCAGCCAAAGGAGACAGTCCCCCCGCACCCCTGACTCGTATGCACACACCTCCTCCGCTGACAGTGGGTCCTCCAGAGCTGCATGCAACACACACACGCATGCACGCATGCATGCATGCATGCATGCATGCAGCACACGCATGCATGCATGCAGCACATACATGCATGCATGCATGCATGCGTGCATGCGTGCATGCAGCACATGCATCCATACATGTATGCAGCACACGCATGCATGCATGCATGCAGCACATGCATGCTGTTGAGCTTTGTGTTTCCTTCTCCTCT